TGAGTCGGCTCGCCCGTGCGCTGTCGATTTGCAGCCAGCAGAGTCCGCGCCGTGGGGGGCCCAGATAGGTTCGCACTTGGTCCTCAGGGGCAGCGGCGAGCAGGTCATTACAAGGGCCATGGAAGCCCCAGGGGAGCCCCCCCAAGCCCCGAGGCCCACAGCGGCCCCCACCGCGGGGCCCAAGTCTAGAGTTGCCAAAGCTCGACGACAGATCCAGCATCAGGTTGCTGATGACAAGCGCTTAGCTCAACTTTATAACCTCTTCGGTGATTGTGTTCAATCTGTTTTGGAGCAGCCGTCGCAGGAGGGCCTCGGGGATGAACGTGCCCCCCCGCCCCTGCGGATGCTCATAGTACTGTAGTATCCGAGTTTGAGTGTGACGAGCGCAGGTTTGACTACTCCGAGTGGCCTGAGGAAGAAGACACCTGGGCCGACGAGTTCAACTTCTGTCCTGACACCTCCCTCGATAGTGCCATGCACGCGCGGGGATCTAACGCTGTGGGGGGTCTTCGCGCTGGCGCGCTTGCATCGATTGCCGTCGTCGGCCCCCAAGCGGCGCCTGCATCCTGCGTTGCGTCCCACGAGGGCGGCAGGGGGGCGTCGGGCGCGGGCAATGGTTGCTCGACTGTGGAGACGGGGCCAGCTCGGAGCACCACGGTTGGCCCTCCGCCGCCCCGCGAGACCCCGGCCCCCAGTCGGGAGTTGGTTCCCGACATCTCTGGAGGAGTCTCAAGTCAGGCTGACGACGGGCCCACCTTCTATATCCCTGAATATACGTGGACCCGCTGTCGCGAGGAAGTGAGATTTGTCTCTGGGTCTGCCGCTCTTCAGTCCCTTGCTCCTGCGTTGCGTGATCCCGTTGCGTTTCGGCTCAAGCCTGATTTGCTTGCCTCAGTCTCGGGGCTTCACTCCTCTTGGATCACCTCTCTGGAGAACGCTATTGCTTGCCACCGTGGCGTTCGACCCCCTGCTGCGCCCCGTCGGGCTGGCGGCTTTCAGTTCTCAGCGCAGCCAGTGCGGATGGCGGCCAAGACGAGGCTTACGCCACTTCGTGGCCTCATCAGTTGCTGGCGACCGCAACTGCACGCGCTGCTGCACGGCGCCCATCGCCATCGGAAGAAGCAGACTGGGGCCAGTCAGGTCCGGAGGCATGTTCAATCTCGTCGCCGCCACTTGGACGTCCGACCCGACCAAGTCCAGAAGGTGTTGCTGGAGACCAAGGACGGCCAATGGGGTGACCGGCTCACTTTCTCGCGCGACGTCGCCAGGGCCTCCGAGAATGAGTTAGCTGATTTTGTTCTTGCAGCGAAGGGAGTCAGCGCTCGCAGCCAACGGCGGGCAGCTCAAGGGTCTCTTTCAGAGTTCGCAAATTTAATCGAGGACAGGGCATCCTCAGGGCGATTGCATAAGTCGCCCAACCCCCTCCCTCAGCCCGAGTGGGACTTAGGAGCGCGACGGGGTCGCATTGTTCCACCCGCGGGACATCGTCGACGCGAAGGCTTAGCACTGGCACGAGCTATGGGCCCCGACGACGCTGGTTTGAGAAGGTCTCTCAGGTTTTCGCCGAGGCGCAGGCATCAGCGGAGGGCGACCCGTTGCCCAGCGTCACGGTCGAGGAGCTCCGCCGCGCTCCGCCCAAGCACGGGAATGGGAGTAGACTTCGTCGCGCCACTCGACCTGGGGCGTCTGCCCGACAGCGCCCTCGCGGAGCTCGCCCTGGTCTTCGAGGCGCGCGAGCAGCGCCTCTGCTGGCCTGCCCAGCTGCTGCTCATCTCGGGGAGGATGCTCCCCAAGAAACCGTCTGGAGATCGGATCATCGGTTTGGTTCCCCTCCCTGGTCGCCTCTGGTCCTTGGCCAGAGAACCACTCGTGAAGGACTGGTCGGCCGAGATCGAAGAGGGGCGGGGTGCCGCTGCGCGAGGCGATTCGAGTCCTCGCGAAGCGTATCTTCGTGCTGCGCAGGAGGAAGTTTGTTGTAAGTTGAAAGTTGGGGTTGGCCATGGCCTCTGCGATGTTCAGTCATCCTGCGATGCAATAGAATTGTCAAATGCGGCCAATAGTGCCCTCAAGATGCAGCTCCCACCACGGCTTTTGCATTTAGAACCCCATGCCTAGATGCTTTGCCCCAACATCAGGGGGAGATCTCTGTCCATCCCTCCTGGCAGGGGAGCCCCCCAGCTTCGCGGCAAGGGAACCAACCCCCTTCCCTCCGTGCTGGCGACGCGCCTCGGGAGTTGGGGACCGAACGAGTGCGTGGCCCAGACGCAGTTGGGCGGGAGGGCGGATTAATGAGGAACGAGCACAGTGAGTGCGGGCACCGCCCGCAGTTGGGCGGGAGGGGGGAACATGAACAGTAAGCCCGTGTGGGCCGAGCACATCAGCAGCGCGGGGACGTGACACCCCGAGCCCGACTCAACCCCCGAGCATCAGTTGGGATGCACGAAAGTGGGCCGCTTGCGCAAAGAATGGGCTCGGTGTCGAATGAGGAGTGCGGCGCGGACATCAGTTGGGATGTCGGCCGTCTCTCTCTCTCTCTCTCTCTCTCTCTCTCCCTCTCTCCCTCTCACTCACTCTCTCTTACAACAGCTCTTTCAATCACTCGCTTTCGCTTTCCCCTATCCTGCGCAAAGCTGCCCTCACGTACATGCCCAGCCTCCCCTGTGCTACACCCAGAAGGCAAAGACGAAGAGGACAGCCACGGACGTCGTGCACCGAACAGCCCGCAAACGCGGACTACCAGGCCATGACACGTGCGCTTCTGTAGCATTGGCTGGCGCAACCAGGCGACAGATCGACACTTATCCGAAATGCTTCGCCCTCCTCCTAAGTAGGTCAATCCATGCCTAGATGCTTTACCCCAGCATCAGGGAGAGATCTCTGTCCAGCCCTCCTGGCAGGGAAGCCCCCCAGCTTCGCGGCAAGGGAACCCCTTCGAGCCCAAACTCCCCCTGAGGCTGTCGGTCCTAGTGGGCGGCGGGCGGGTCGCGCAGCGGGGGCCAGAATGGCCGCGCTGAGTGCGCGGTGTGCCTGCGAGAATGGCTGGGAGGGAGCGCGAAATGACAGGAAGGATCCAGGCGGGGACCTCTTTGCTACCGCGAAACGCTCCTGGTTCGTTTGGCAGACGCTGCCGGGGAGCCCACACAGGGGAATCCCGGCTTTCTGTTTCCCCCGCAGCCGGCGGAATTTCTTTGGCCCCTGCACTGGCGACGCGGGCCGAACTGCGCCTGGCGATCTGCCAGGACCAGTCGACAGAGCGGCTTCTGCGGCCACGATGGCATGCGACGCGGCTGGCGGAGCGCCTGCCGGAGCCCTCGCCGCGGCCAGGAACTGTTGCCGCGACAGCTCCGGCGACGCAACGGCATACACGTCGTGCATCGCAGATGAGGAATGCCACCCGCCTTGGTCCTGCACCGCCCTCGGCGGCGCATTGGCCACGTGCAAGCTGCATTGCGTGCCGCCTTTGCGGAATGAATGCGTGCTCGTTGCCTCGTCCTTGAAAAATGAAGAAACTGTTTTTCTCCATAAATCGGGACTCGCTGCCTTATGCGATGCGCCAGTTGTGGTGCAGGAGAAAACCGGTGGCTCCGAAGGCATCTCTCTCCTGAGATTCGACCACGTTTCCATGAGACGGGCGGGGTCGATTCCAGCGAAAACAAAATTTGGGATCACGCATGTTTGCCCTCTGCCTTCCGGGTCGTTTTTCTGACGCCGGATGAAGCACCGGGCGCATTCGGAATCAAATTTCACGTCTGCGGCAAGTAGAGCAGAAGCTTCTGATGCTCTCCGAATGCCGAAGAAGCAAAAGACTACAAACGCGCAGTCCGGGGCCCCCGCCGCCGAGCCTGCGGAGAGGCGGGCTCGGATGAAAGACAGAAGCTCGTCAATAAAAATTGTTTTTTTTTGGTGGCTGTCGTGTCTCGCTCTCTTTTTGAGCCCCTTCCAAAATTGATGCGCGCGCTGGTCCCAGCAGGAGTCGAACACGCAATCGACACCCCGACACATCATTATGCCAGGCACGAATGGCGGCCTTGTTAAGCTGAATGCTAGACCAAGCCGTTCCGTCCATACCAGTGAACAACAACATTAATTTATCCACCGAATCTACTGGAAGGAAGGTGGCGTCAACAATGCGCTCCAAACCGTGCGCGTGAAGCCTGATGGCGTTCGCGTAGGTTTGCTTGGTCGAAGGTCCCCAACCGGCCTCAAGAATATCCTGGGCCTTGGCGAAGAGATCCTCGCGAGAGGAAGATGCAGCGGATGACAGTGTAGGTGCTTGAGATAACACGTCCTGGACGGGTTGAAAAATCAATTCGGCCAAGACGGAATCTCGAGGCTGCACACCAGGCGCCGCAGACGCGCCTGTCGCCGAAGAAGCCGGCACCATGGTGAGCACAGATGGCCGTGGGGCAGGAGGAAGCCCGCTCGGGGCCACCGCGGATTGTTCGACCAAGCGCAAACCCCATGGCGGTTGCGACCCAGGGACTGCACGTATGAGATGCATGCCGTTTTGGATCCCTGGCGACTCTGGGGCCCAAATGGCTACGGAACGGGCCCGTGCCAGATCATGCAAGCGCAACCGTGCAGACAACGAAGCCCGCGTGCGGGGCCACGACTGAATCTCACGAGTGCGGTATCGACCACACCCGTTTTCTGATGACCAGCCACGTTTTTGAGACGCCCCGGAAGCCCCGGGAGATACCGGACCCACCCCCCCAGATCCACAGGGGACCGTCGGGGCCAACCGGGCCAGGACGCTGCTCGGGGCCCGGAATCCGGGGGAGTCGGACCCAAAATCCGGGGGAATCAGATCCAAATCCGAGGGACTCGGACCCGAAGTCGCCGAGGCTGGATTCACCCCGAGGGGGGGGGATTCACCCCGAGGGGGGGGGGGGCAAAAAGAAGGCCGGGCGAAGGACCCAACCTGTTCTCCCGTATTTTCCTGAGCTGGGGCTCCGCAGGAGCGAGTGCTGCAAGCGTCCCAAATTTAAAATACACGAGAGTCACAAAGGCGGACTGTCGCACTGAGACGTGTCAAAATGCACGCACTGGTGGCGCGCGGGGCTCTGCGCTGGGAGGGGCGGGAGGGGGGAAGCGAAGACGGGGAAGGACGAGGGGGGGGAGCGCGCATTGGGGCAATCCTCAGGCCAGCAGTAGGCCATGATCCCGCGCGCGCCGCACCGCGAGCACGGCGAGCTCGGCTTGCCCCCCTCCGCGCGGCATTGCGCGCGCGAGTGCTTGACCACCTGGCGGCTGTTCAGGATGTAGTGGCGGCACAAATTGCCGAGGACGCTCCGGATGCCGTGCTGCTCCGCCGGAGTGCCCTTGAACTTCTGGTCAACGTAGGCCTGGATGGCCGCAGGCTGCTGGCGGCCGACCATCCCGTTGAGGTCGCTCAGGATGGCGGCAGCGGCTGCCTTCTTGTCACCGTTGCCAGAGCCGCCGGCTGGGCCCGCCTGCTGCGGCGCCTGAACCTGGACTGGAGCTGGAGGCATAGGCGGCCGGCTGTTGTTGCGAGAGGCTGGTGCCCCGCCGCCGCCACACGCCTGCGGGATACACGAGATCACTGGCTGGCCTTACTCTGTCCGGAGACGCTTGGCCGGGAACTGGCTCACCTGGCCTGGCCCAGTTGTGAACACGAACGTGGTGGCCGCGAGGTGTGTCAAGCTGAGCTGCCAGTCAAGGGAGAAGTCCCTCTGCATCAGAGCCATCTCCAGCGGCCTGCGGGCAGATGTTTTTTTCGCCAATCTCTTCATGGACTTAATGCCCGCAAAGATCGCAGGCATCATTTCCAGGCGCTGCGCTTTGATCTTGCCGGGAGAGTTCGCCTTGGCAGTACGGATGTTGGTGAACTGGTTTTCCATGATGAGGAAGTAACTGAGGCATGTCATAGCGATGGCAGACACCGTCTTGTCTCCATCACTCGCCTTCGTAGACAAGAAATTACGCAGAAGTTCCGGGCTGCCCCCGAACGGGGCGAGGCAGAGGCTTTTCCAACCCTGCTTGGGCGCGCTCTTGAGAGCAACCGCCTGTTTCAGCCTCTCTGCGTCTGGGTGGTTGGGGTTGGCCATGATCGCCGCCGTCGAGTTGGCGACAGACGGGTCCTGCATGTTCTGGGCCGCGTTGCTGAGCCAGCCGGAGTCGACTCCAACGCGCATCCACCCCGCAGCCCACTCAATTGGATCCGTATCGCGCCCTGTCTTCGTCCAAGGGAAGGAGGCGTCCAACTGCACCTCGATCTTCTCGAACTCCTCGACGCGTTTCTGCAGCGCCTGGAATTGCGTGTCCATCTGGGTGCGGAATACGGTCAACTCTGCCGCAGTGGACGTGGCGGTCTCTTTGACGGGGTCCAAGGCTTGCCGGATGACTCCTGCGTCGGAGGCCAAGTCGGCGGTAAACGCCCGAACGACGGCCTCGCGGAACATATCTTGCAGAGGTCCGTTGTCGGCGAGCCCTGCCGTGAGCCACGCGGTCGCAGCAGCAGCGTCCATTGGAGCGGCCCGCTCGTGTGCAGTGGACCGGAAGAGATGAACGGAACGTTGCCAGAAATGCCTCTGAAAAATTTCTCGAGCCCTCGCGCTGCAACCGTGGCAAGCATGAGTGACTCTGCTGGCAACGATCAAGTGACGATGGGTGAAGGGGCTGGGCGGGGGGGGGAGCGGGAAGGGCACAGAAAAAGAGACCGGAGGGGGCCAGCGGAAGGAAGGAGGAGACGAGGGAAGGCAGAAGGGGGGGAGAGGAGGGGGAACAATTTGGGGAGGGAAGAGATTACTGGGAACATCTTCCTCCACGCCCTGTCTCTTGAGCGCGGTTGTCATCGCTGGGCACCAACATGGTGCGACTGCTCGCCGGGATCTGTGTACCCGCGCCCTCGAGACGGCTGTGTCGCGCCACCTGCCGAACAGTGAGCCAGGCCCCGAGACTGCTGTGCTTTCAGCGCCACAGTCGCCACGGGCCCATTCAAGGCACGTGTCCTTCCTCCAACTCTTCCGAGGACGTTGGGGAGAAGGGGGAGGAGGAAGGGGAGGGGGGGAAGCAGCGACCGGGAGGGGAGGAGCGGAAGGGCGAGGGAAGGCAGAGAAGGGAAGGGGCAGGGCGACCAGGGAAGACGATAATTTCATGCTTTTTACTTGCGGCCAGCGACAGTAACAGAAACGGACAGCCTGTGGCAGGGCACCGACGCCAGCCGCCTTCGGCGGAACGCATTCAGGGAGGTCGGAACCTGCTGGCCACCATTCCCGGCGCCTCCATTCTCGCAGGGTGTTCGCACTATACCACGGTGCGCCGGGGTCCTCTGCTAGGAGAAGGGGGGCTTCCTTACAGACCCTTTCACGGACTTTGCTGCGCAGGAAATGTAAGGTTTGACCAGCGAGAGCCTTGGGCGGGAAGGCCCATACACGATTGCCCAAAACGCTTGCTTCGAAAGCGGAGCTCTCGGGGTGATACCACAGCGCGGCTAAGGACAAATGGCCGTCGCGATCTGTGAAGAGGTCGCAATCAAAGGGGCCCCATTTACTTTGCAGGGGCCGCATAATGCAACGCTTAAGTGTGGCATCCCTGTAAGGATCCTGGTTCCACAGGGCTGCGAAGGAAGAGTCGCGTAAACCTGCGTCACTGATGACGTTTGCAAAGCCCGAAAGATGCACGGCTAACGTCCAGCACCCGGCGGCGCGCTCGGCGAGATCTAACTCTTCCGCCAAGTCGCAGAGGCTGCGTATATGCCCATGCCGGAAGCTGATGTAGTGCAGGGCGGGTTTGTTGTCCGTGCGGACGACTACTCTCCAGCCGCGGAGCCAGTCCGCTTCTCTGCGTAGAAATTCTACCACGACCCACAATTCTTTGTAATTGATGGCCCCGGCGTTCTCGGCAATGGAATCGAAACCAGGGGGCCAAATGCCCGAAACGACTCGACCCTCGCTACATAGATTGAACAACCAACCGTGGAGCCTGGATGCGTCCGTCTTAACGACCCGGACGCATCCCGCCGCCGCGAGAGCACGCCAAGTGGCGAATTCAGGTGACTTCGGCCCCCAGAGGGACATGTGCCCTGCAGCACAGTGCAACGGGCGCTCTGGAGTGAGAGCCAAAGTGCGGATCCACCAATCAATCTGTTCCCGCGCTGCCGTAGTCAAGCGCACGGCGGGGTTCGCAGACGGGCTTGTTGCCCAGAGCGAATAAACATTCGCGGCGTTCAGACAAGCCCATAATGATGCAGCCGCCGGCGGCCCTGCAAGAACACCTCAGAGATGTGAGAAGCGAGGCCGGCAACAGATGCCAGTTCCCGGGCCCGGAGCTGGCCTGCGCTGTCGGAAACCAGAACGGCCGCGAATAAAGCCTGGCACTTGTCGCACTTCTGCCGGGAGACAGACAGAGCATTAGAAACTGTGTCGAAAACCCAGCCAACCCAAGTCTGCTTCTGGAAAGGAGGTTTCAGTCCCGCCGGTTTAGTCGACACGGGTATTCCGGCCTTCAGAAGAAACCGGACGGCCGCGCGGAAATTCTCCCACGCCTCAGCTTCAGTCACGCCGGCCCCCAGATTGTCGTCCACGAAGTCCGTGAGCACGACACCGTCTCACTTCGTGAGTAAACGAAGCACTTCTTTCAAGCTTCGATCGTTGATCGCAGGAGAGGTCTTCATTCCAAAGGGAAGGAACAAATATCGACCATAATCACGAACAAATGAACAGTAAGCCCGTGTGGGCCGAGCACATCAGCAGCGCGTGGACGTGACACCCCGAGCCCGACTCAACCCCCGAGCATCAGTTGGGATGCACGAAAGTGGGCCGCTTGCGCAAAGAATGGGCTCGGTGCCCAATGAGGAGTGCGGCGCGGACATCAGTTGGGAAGTCGGCCGTCTCTCTCTCTCTCTCTCTCTCTCTCCCTTTCTCCCTCTCACTCACTCTCTCTTACAACAGCTCTTTCAATCACTCGCTTTCGCTGTCCCCTCTCCTGCGCAAAGCTGCCCTCACGTACATGCCCAGCCTCCCCTGTGCTACACCTAGAAGGCAAAGACGAAGAGGACAGCCACGGACGTCGTGCACCGCACAGCCCGCAAACGCGGACCACCAGGCCATGACACGTGCGCTTCTGTATCATTGGCTGGCGCAACCAGGCGACAGATCGACACTTATCCGAAAGGCTTCGCCCTCCTCCTAAGCAGGTCAGTATTGCAAAGTGTGTCTGCCCGGCTCCTTAGTCAGCTGTGAGCGTCGTCGGCTCCCTTTCAGACGACGAGGAGTATAGTGCAGGGCCTGCGGTCAGGCACGAGGTTTGGCAGCGCGATGACCACTTCGTCTTGCGAGGGGTCGTGGCGGCCCATCCCCAGGCCAGACACAGAATATGGATAGATGATTTGTCGCAGCAAGTTCGAGGATCAAGAGGAGCAGTCGGGGCACAACTCAGAGATTCCATTATTGAGAAGTGCTGTGACCTCAAACGTAACAAGCTGAAGGTCTCACCGAAGTCAGTGGCAGTGTGCACGCATTTGGCAGATGCGCGCTGGGTGAGCAAAGCAGTGCAACGCGTTGGCTTTACAGTCCTGCCGCAGGGCAAGACCAGTTTCGTTGGCGTTGATGTATCCTGTGGACGCCGACTTGCGCGCGCCGACAGAAGGAAGAGAGATCAGAAACACGCGCTGGTGTCGGCCAAGGTTGGCCGATCAGCGATAGCGGCCAATATGTATCGAGCGACATCACGTTTGGAAGCTCAAGGAGCCCAGGCCGCAGGGATCTATGGTTTTCAGATCGATGGAACCATCGGACAACGTTTGTTGCAGGCTCGCCGTCGTGCCGGTTACTCTTGCGTTGCTGCGACGAGAGGTCGCTGTTTGACATCTTTGCTAGAGCTTCGCATGCCTGGTCAAGACCCAGGCATCAAGTTACCTAGGCAGTGCTTGGAGATGTGGTTGAAGACATGGTGAGATCATCCAGAACTCAGGTCAGGAGTACGCCGTGTGGAACGAGACCGCCAACCACATGATGAACACCCCCGTCGAACATAGATCTCGGCAGGTACGTGGTTTCATGGCGGCAGTGATGCTACATCTGTTGGAATCGAGATGGCAAATTAGAGAAGCTACTTCGTGGACGATACCCAAGCCCCACCACGCAGCTGGCGACGACTGGAAGTTCGACGATGACATTTTCACAGGCATGCGGACAATTGACAAATGGCATGGAATTCTTACGCGATTGCCGGGATGTCCTTTCACTGCGATAATGGCGCCGTGCAGCTTCTCACAATTGTGGAGGTGGATTGGAGACGCCGTGTTCTATTTAAGCAAGTGGAAGAGACACCTCAGCTTGGCCATAGAGTAGCAGCTAGTATGACGATGGTGGCGGTTGGTGCATCATGGTCAAAGGACACGAAGAACGAAGGGATCCCGCAGTTCCGTGGCTCTCGCCTTTGTCAGCGGTGCAAGAATGCTCCCGAGACGATGCTGCACCGAGGGTGGACCTGCTCAGCCAACGTCGGGAACGACGCGTACACGCGCTCGGACGAGATGATGGCGCAGGCAGTAGCTCAAAATGGTGTGGACCAGGGTTCTGGTTGAGGGACATGATCCCTCAGGACTGGACCACAGCCCCTGCGCCGCTGTCCACAGAAGGATGGTCAGCCGCTGGAGCTAACAGTGAATGCGATGTGGGCTTTTTAGGCACTTGTACCCCCGAACCCCCTCTCATAATCTTCGGGGACGCTTCGGGCGGTGCCGACACAGCCTCGGCGAAATTCAGAAGAGTAGGATTGAGCATTGTGCTGTCTGGCTCCTTGGAGCCGCAAGTTGACATCCAGGTCACAATGCATGGGCCTTTAGTAGGCCACCGGCAGGCTGTTCCTAGGGGTGAATTGCGGGCCCTGGTTGTAGCACGTTGGGCCACTAAGGGAACCCTCCTTTATGTTTCTGGTTGCGAACCTCTTGTTAAAGGCTGGTATACTAAGAAGTGGCTCTTCCCACAGCGGGAAGACGGGGATCTCTGGGCGTCTCTAGGCCAACTGTTTGTACACCAAGACAGAGACCCCAGCACAATCACCGTTCTTTTCGTACTTTCTCATCAGGATGAAGATGATGTTGTAGCTAATTGCTCGCAGAGGTGGCTCATTACAGGAAACGCAGTTGCAGATGCTGTTGCGAGTATGGCTGCTCGCCATGCCCGCCTGCCCGAATATGTGGGACATACTGTCTTACCCCATGAGCGCAGAGTTTTCTTGGTGCGCATGCGTTTGCGTCGTGCGTCTCTTGATTAATTTGCTGCTGAAGCGTCGGTCGTTGAAGAAAAAGGAACCCCCTGGTGAAATGGAGCCGCCCTCCCACTGCTGCTTCTTGCTCCCTCTTCTCGTCTACTCGCATTTTAGATGAAGCAGGGAGACGCTGCACCAGATGTGGAGTGTCGGCGTCCAAAGCGGCAACGACCGAGTTTCTCCAGAGTGATTGCTTCCAGCCCCTGAATTATGACGGGTCCCTCCTTTATAAGACCCCCAACGCAAAGCTGCACATTGCAGGGGGGTGGGTAGGCCAGAGTCATATTATGCAATAGTCGACCTCGTGGAATTTGTGGTATTGTAAGTCTTGCGGTTGTTATGCATCGGCCGTGTTGCGTGAATTAAGGAAGGGGTGCACAGGCAAGATCACCCCCACACGGGCTGGATACTTGAGTCGAATTTCCAGAGGTCGCGTTCCCAAGGTTTTAAGTGCAGCAGCGAAGCGCACACGCGGACATGTATAACTCAGTAATGCGCCTCAAGTGTTTCACGGAGGTAGGCACAAGGTTGACTCTGTCACATGGTCATACGCATACGTACTCATACTCATACTCCTTCTCCTCCTCTCCTCCTTCTCCTCCTCCTCTTCCTCTCCTCCTCCGCCTCCTTCTTCTCCTCCTCCTCCTCCTCCTCCTCTTCCTCCTCCTCTTCCTCCTCTCCTCCTTTGCTTCTCCTCCTCCTCTTCCTCCTCCTCCTCCTGATCTTCCGCCATCCCCCCGAGTGTTTTCTACAACGGTTGGGGGAACACATGGTCCGGTGGGTTGGCAGAGCTTGGCCACAACGCTAGGACACATGGGCGATGTCAAAACTCTTGCTCCCGAACGCGTTCCCCGAAGGCTTTCCAAATCGACTCGGGGAACAACAACTGGCCTTATAGCTTGGCCAAGCTCTAGCCCAGCTGTCGGCCACATCAGCGCTTCCACAAAGGCAGGGGGCGGCTGTGATTCGCCGTAGGCGTCTTCGATCTGCCGCCCCCTGCTGATTTATCACAGGGGTGCCTAGCATGCCAGACGTCATACCATCCCCACAAAAAATCCAAGACGGCTCAAGATGGCTTCTAAGACGGCCAAGGTGCCCTCCAAGTTCGCCCACGATGGTCCATGATGACCTCCTCCAAGACCGGCCAAGAAGGCCCAGGATACCTCCAAGTCCGCCGACGACGCCACAAAGACTGCAAAAGCTGGCTCCAGGATGGCCCCAAGACGGCCCCAGGAGGCCTCTAAGATTGCCCACGAGACCTCCCAGAGGTCCCCCAGGAAGGCCCGAAGAGGCCAAAATCAGTAATGCCCTAGAGGCACTCCGAGAAGGCCCTGGGGCACTCCAAGAGGGCCCCGAGCCGGCCCTGAGGGGCCCACATGGCAGTTTCCGACTGCGCCTGACGGGCCAGGAGGCCAGTCCTTGAGTTTTCGAAGGAGAATGGCATTTGCTTCTGTTCGGTCTTCCGACGGCCCGAGACGGCCCAAGAGCCCCCAATGATCGCCCCGAGATCGCCTAAGAGGCCTCCAAGATGGCCTCACAACGGCCCATGAGGCCCCCAAGAAAGCCCAAGAGGGCCCCGAGACGGCCCAAGAGGCCTACAAGAAGCCCAACATGGCACCCAAGACGGCCCTGGAGCACCCCAAGAGGGCCCCAAGTCGGCCCAGAGATGCCCAAAAGACGGTTTCTGACGACTTCAGACGGTCCAGGAGGCCGTCAAGACCGCGCAAGATGGCTCCAAGACAACCCAAGGAGGCCCCCTACGAAGCCTCCAAGAGGTCTCCAAGACTATCCAAGAGGCCCACAAGAGAGCCTCCAGGAAGGCCCGAAGAGGCCCAAATCAGAGATGTCCCTGGGGTTTGTGAAATATTTTGACATTGCTTCTCTTCGGCCTTCTGACGGTCCGAGACGGCCCAAGAGCCCTCCAAGATCGCCAAAAGATCGCCCAAGTGGCCTCCAAGGTGGCCCCAGAACGGCCCAAGAGGTCACCAAGACGGCTGTAAGAGGGCCCCAAGACGGCCCAAGAGGCCTCCAAGACGCCCAAGATGGCCTTCAAGACGGCGTGCCCCAAGTCGGCCCTGAGAGGCCTCCACGACGGCTTCCGACGTCAGACGGGCCAGAAAAGCCCTAAGACAGCCAAAGAGGCCCCCGAGCAGCCCCCAAAGGCCCCCAAGAGGCCCAAGGCGGTCCCCAAGATGACTCCAAGATGCTCCTATGAAGCTCCCAGGAGGCCCCCCCAGGGGCTCCCAAGATGCTATCCCGCCATCCTCCTGATCTTTCCCGCCATCCTCCCCCAAGTGTTCCCCGAAGAGTTTCCACAACTGCTGGGGGAACACATGGTCCGATAGCTTGGCAGAGCTCTTGCCACAACGCTCGGCCACATGGGCGATTCCAACAGGCAGAGGGCGGCGGTGATTCGCCGTTGGCGTCTTCAATATGTTTTGCGAACAACACCCTGGAACCTCAACCAGCCAACTGGCGAACCAGGACGTCTGAGTCATCCTCCCCCCGAGAGCTACGCGCTTCGCCCCCAGCACCCGCAGAAGCTCCACCAAGCCGAAGACGAAGGCGTCCGATCTCCTCAGCCCCGCATCCTACTCCCCATGAGCACAGGACTCGTAGCGCCCCGTGCCGCACTGACCCGGGACCCGGATACTTGGACCACTGGCCCACGAGAGCGCAGTGCACCCTTGATGAACCTGTTTTCCACCACCACCACCACCATCAGTTGGAGGGGGGAAGGAGAAGGGCGAGGAGGAGGAGGACGAAGAGGAGGAGGAGGAGGAGGAGGAGGAGGCGGAGGAGGAGGAGGAGGAGGAGGGTCCCTCCCCCTCCAACTTTTTGGTGGTGGTGGTGGTGGAAAACCCGCCCGTCGACCCTCCCGCCCCACGGCCCAACCGTGGCAAGCCGCACTCGGTCCCCTCACCACGGCCAGCCGCTGGCAGAGCGAGCGCCCCGCGGCCCAGCGGCACCGGCCCCGGGCAGGACGGAGGCGCCCGGGCCGGTGCCGCTGGCCCTGGGAGGTCGGGTCGCCGCGGCGGCCCCGGCGGCACGCCGTGCCCCGCGGGCGGATCACGCGCCGCTCCGCTCCGCGGGGCGGGCAGGTCCTGGCCATCGCTCGGACGTCCATTCCCGGTGTTTTTGTTCGGTCTCGTGCGTGGCTTTTTTGTCCCCAAGTGATCCAGGATGCTCCTCGATGGTCCTCGCCGAGAAAAAAATGCACACGTCCGAGCGATGCCAAGGGTCGGGCTTCAAGAGCCCGGGACGCTGGCAGCCCGGGACGCTGGCAGCGGCTCGCGCGCCGCGCCGGGGCGCGGCGGGCCAGACGCCCCGCGGAGCGCAGCGCCGCCCCAGGAGCCCGCAGCGCGCCGACGGCGGCCCGTGGGCCCGCGGGCGCCCGCCGTCAGAGTCCGCCCGCGCCCCCGCCGGCTCTCCCCCCCCGCCAGCGTCGGCTCGGTGGTTCGGAGATGGGGTCCTGAGGCATGGGGTCCTAAGGACGACGTGTCTGAGGGATGGGGCCCTGAGGGACGAGGTGTCTGAGGGATGGGGTCCTGAGGGATGGGGTCCCAAGGACCGGATGGGGTCCTAAATTTACCCTCGGAGCCCTTCCTGTCCTTCGGAACCCTGCCCTCTCAGGACCCCACCTTCGAACCACCGATCGGCTGCCCGCCCACGCCCGCCCGCCCGCCAGGGCCTGCCGGCCTCCTCTGCGCGGTCGCCGTCGCCGTCGCCGCCTGCGTGGAGGAGGAGGAGGAGGAGGAGGCGGAGGAGGAGGAGGCGGAGGCGGAGGAGGAGGAGGAGGAGGAGGAGGCGGAGGAGGAGGAGGAGGAGGAGGAGGAGGAGGAGGAGGAGGAGGAGGAGGAGGCGGGGGAGGAGGAGGAGGAGGAGGAGGAGGAGGAGGAGGAGGAGGAGGAGGAGAAGGAGAAGGAGAAGGAGGAGGATGAGGAGGCGGAGGAGGAGGAGGAGGATCGGCTTTTTCGTCCTCGCCGCCGTCGTGGCCATCCTGGGCACGGCTCCGCGGCGAGCCCGCCCGTGGCTGCGGCGGCGGCGGCGGCCAGCAGCGCCGCAGGGGGGGCGGCACGGGGGCGGCAGTGCACGGCCTGCTCGGCCTTCAGCAGCCACTCGCGCTCCTTGTCGGCCTCAAATCGCCGAGGGGGGGTTCAGCGCGCGCTCGTCGTTGGTCGTCGTCGTCGTCGTCGTCGTCGTCGTCGTCGTCGTCGTCGTCCTAGTCGTCGTAGTCGTCGTAGTAGTCCTCGACCTCGTCCTCATCCTCCTCGTCGTCGTCCTCGTCGTCAGCGGCGTCGTCGTCGCGGTCGGCATCGTCGTGGCGCGGTCAGAGACCCTCCTCCTCCCGCTCCTGACCTCGTTCCCCCTCGCACTCCCCGGCGCCCCGCCGCTCTCCACCCTCGCCCCCCAGACATCGGGGCGCTCCCATGTTTGTTCAGTGCGTGGGCCCGGAGGTCTGGACCACCTCCCTGCAGTCAACCCGTATAAGGACACGCGATAAGGATGCAAGAGCCTTGGAAGGCCAAGTCGACACTTGGCGAGTGGGGCGCGGCCAGCGAAAGTGGCCAAGGATGGGCCGAAGGGGAAGGATGCAAGGGTAAGCTTGGAAAGTCAACCTTGCTATGCGGGTGGACTGTGAGTCTTGAGTCGTTTTTGACGGTCCAGAGGCCCCCGGAGGCCGAAAACGGTCAACATCCGGCTGCTCAATCTTTTTCTGGAGCGTCGGATCTTTGGGCCTGCCCCCCTGCTTTCTATCTGACCACTCCCGCCCCCCCTCTAACCCCGCCCCTCGCACCCCCTCCCCCTTCCTCTCTCCATCCTTTCCTCGCTCCTCCGACTTCCAACTATCCTTCCGACCCCCTCCCTTCCTACCGATCCTCTAGCCGGAGGAAAGTGGATACGGAGCAGGAGGATGGGAGAGGAACAGAGAGAGAGAGAGAGACAGAACGAGAGAGAGAGAGAGAGAGCAATGTATATCTATACATAAGTGTACCTGTGTAATTGTATGTGTTATTTGATTTCGCACTTCCACATATACACATATATATATATATACACATCTGTATAAATGAAGCTCAAACTATACATATGTGTGTAGATAGTTAACCTGTTAGGCATGATAACACATAGATGTAGACGTCACGGTTCAAGGATTAATACTGCGTAAATGGATTCGTGTTGTTTGATATGCACTACCACCGTGCCTTCAGCACGAGGTGGAGGGCCCCAAGGCCCATGCAGCCTTGAGAGGTGAA